AACATTAAATTATAACATTGAGCAAAGTCCCATGTGGATAGTCTTAGGTGAAGATTTTGGCCTTTAAACGGAGTCTGATTGGACGTTAAGGGATGGCTTGATCTTTTGAATGAAGAGCATCTCGTAAATGAGACAGTCCTGTTTACTGGAGCACTTTTGTTCCTTTATTGCTCAAATAGCGATATTTCATAACATTAGGCTTGACTTACCAACAGTTCCTGCTCACGTTTGGAGAAACTGAAACGAAAGCGAATATTAAGATTTCATTGATCTAATCAGGGCAAAATTCATTGTTATAAGATGGCGAAGAGAACACTGGGATGAGCTATATAGTGACCAATCGCATCAATCTATTCTTGGCAATTCTAAAACGATACACTCACAGACTTCATCAGTGATTTGATGCATTCATTGGGAAGATTTTATACTGGAAACAATAATTCCCTTTCAGAGTGAGATTCCGTACGTGTTTATGTATTGTCATTTGTTAGCTCTATGACCGTATTTTTGCTAAATCGACTAGCTAGTTATTTGTTAATACACGCACTAAATCCGTGGAACAAATGTTGCTAATTACACCTATGCATTGTTGAAAATAGAAAATAACCTAGCATTATTTAGCACCTACAGGTTCCTTATACTACTAGTGCAATTAGAGCGTACTAGCTAAGGCGTATTATTAAGTGTAATATATATTTCACGGGTTTTTGACTTTAAGAGGGAGGTCCCGGAAAACCCGTGAAAAAGATGTTACAGTAATATACCTTAGTACGCTCTAATTGCATTATTTTCTTTCGTGTCTATCAACTATAAAATGATAACAGTCAAATTTCGTTTCACGGCTTTAGAGACTTTACTTTATTTCACGGATTAAGGGCATCTACTGTCGAAAGAAGACAGCAACAATCAAATTATCATGAGCTCGAAGTCTACAAAACCTCGCTACGCTCGTGTTCCTAAGCTTGCTTCTCTCGTGTTTTTCGAACTCCCACCGTGTTTATAGTTTATATCAGAGGGCAGAGAAACGCTCGCCGTTTTATATTTCTTAAATCAAAGATAAATGAAAACAACCACTAAATACTCAATGACTTAACTCAATATTTGCTTGATACTTACAACTGACTCATGTTGCTGTATTGCTTCCTCATCAACTAAAACAATAAAATCTCCTTAATTAACAAACAAGAATCTAAGTAAACGCAAGAATAGGGTACAAATACCAGGATACAAACACAATAGAAAACAAAGGCAATTCGCGTAATTCAGCGTAATTCGGACTTTAGATTCTTTAGATAAAATACAGTAGTATCATTTACAGGCCCTTTAAAACAATTATTATCCTCAGGCTCTGTAATCGCCGAGGTGATCGGCTTCTTCGACTAATGCCACAAGCTACTATGACTATGGCCGTTACCTGAAGGTCTTCGTCCAGATTTTGAACTAAATTCTAAGAACAAAAATAATAATTATAATAATACAATTGATAAGGTCTTTTAAAAACTAAACACAGTTACTACTTCGATGGGCTAAAGCTTTCTTAACTAAATTGGTTGATAAAAAGATATACATCACAAGTTGACTTATAGTTATCTTTTGAAAAAATACGTTAAGTTTATTCAAGTACTAAGAAATGCATTAAGTGTTTATTCACTAAATTATTAACTAAATTTTGTTATAAAAACTTTGAGTTGACACAGCTTACTTGCAGATTGACGATCTCCATTTGCATGACGGGATCTGGTCGATCTGGAAAAAAGAACACGTTTTCACACTATTCTTGCAATTACGGCATATTTGGTCTTTGATTTGTAGAATACTTACAACGTAAATTTTGCCTTCTTCGATTGGACATTTCTAATTGGTTGTGTGAACAATCTGAGAGCAAACTTGAAGTCTTTTTAGCTTGAAATAGTTTTATAGCCTGTGAAAGATTTAGATTTAACGATTTTGGCAAAAACAACTATTTTTCGATCAAGAGCAAACTTACCGGCCGTCGACAGGAAAATCTCTTTACAGCTAATGAAGTAATAGTCGATTGTGACGTCATAATTGCGCGCGCGATAAGCCGCTGTTCAGATATATCGCAGATRGCMAAAAATCGCACATAACTCGATCCATCATAACAAAAATGAAAGCGAAAAAATTCAGACAGAAACATAGAGCGAAAAAAGAAATATCTAAAAATACAAAATAATATAAACTYACTTTKTACTTTATTCATCAAAACGGTGTCAAAAAAGAAGGAAAAGARGCTTGGGATGAGGTTGGAAGCATTTTTGTTGTATGATAATTCGCTATTGTTAAAATCCAAATCAACTTGGCTTCGTTTTGCTTATTTTGCGATTCTATTTTAAAAAAACTCAGTCCATGTGACCAAATATGAAAGTCCTGTGTATGAACTAAATTTCAAGCGGACAGTTTGATATATTTCTGACAAATCTTATTGTTTATAATGCTGTACTGAGGATTTCATGAATTATCTTCAGACGACGAAGATCCATTTAGTAAAGGAATAGTGTCCRCCTCTTGTTGGTCGTCATTCCTTCGTTCTGGTGGTATCTGTACCTTATCCCTGGAAAAGAAAAACCTGTTCTCGTAAAAATCATCCAAAAAGTAGAATGAAAAAACTCTCTGCCTTGTATCCATCTAATTGACTCAAGTCCCCTTCCCCCTTCGTGACAGTTTTGACAGAAGACATTTCGTCATAGCCTACTCACTGCATGTTGTAGATGTAAATGGCCGGYACCATGAATACAAGGCCTATAATATTCAACCACACTGTGACGCTCATTTGAGGATCCCAGTGGAGGGTTGGTTGTTCYTTAAAAAGAGTCCAGAAGAAGAATCCAAGAGGGGTTGTTACAGTCTGAAAGAAAAAAATATTCAGCATTAATAACCGAGTAGGCTCAATGTATCTATACATATTTGATTCTTTTAAGTAAGGGAATTAGTATACAATAATATACAAAATATTTTTACTGGAAAGAGTGATTTTCATTAACCCGTGAACACTATAGCGTGCTACACTAAAGCCACATTCACGTACACCTCCGACAACGACGCACATTCACAGGACCTTTACCGCAACAATTCACATACACCTCTACATCACATACACCGTATAACCACATACACATACACCTCTA